TTATAGGGTAAGAAGTTCATAACTCCATTTTACGTGAATAGTGTATTTTGCGGATAAAAGCTTTTATGCGACACAAAAACTGTCACAATCTGTTTAAAAGTGTCATATAAGTAATAAATGTAACATTTAAAATTTTATGAACCCATGCAATTTCTTATAGTTTGAATCTGTAATATCATATACTTGTGTGTATTCCCCCCATAATTGTTTAACAAAGTAAAAAAAAAGGGGCCATGGAGACTCACGTTAGTAGCGAGAGTCGGGAAGTGTTGGGAAGATCGAGTTTTGAGCGGGTTTTGCTCCGGGATTCTTGGAGTCGACCTATACACCTCGAAACAGAAAGGTAACGGAATAAGGAAACTATATATGTTTGTTTAGGACCGAACCAATCATCGGGATTATCTCATCGGAACTGTTCATGCCACCGGCCACCATGGCAGGTGTTGACTGTTCTTCGAGGTTTTTGAATGTGTTCTGAACAGAAAAGAAAGATGGTTACCTGAGATCAATGGAGGAGTAAGGAAGAACGATGAGAAACTGCTTGAGGGTCGAAAAGAGATGAAGACAGGAGGATAAATAGTGGTTGTCGCCGGTTCTTCTTCTCCAGTGAGCAGTGTCGACGGTCCTGTTTGCGATCGGAGGCTTGCTTCAACTGGCCATGGCGGTGGTTTGGTGGTTATGGGGTCAGTCTGCCATTAAAATGGAAGGAAGACGAGAGGTTGGGTTGAAGAAGGCAACAACTTCGGTTGTTGCTGGGTTTTTCTGTGATCTAGTGGAACACGAGTGAGAGGGAGTTGAGAAGATGAAGGGGGAGTGTGAAGAGTGTTATCTAAAATTGAATTCAGTGGTGAGATATTTGATCAGATTTCTTGTACAATTTGATGATCGAATGAAGATGTGGAAGTACATTTGAAATAGTTCCAAAGATATCAAGCATGTGAGGTATTTGTGAAAATGTAGGTGAGAGAGATAGAGAGGAAAGGGGGAGACGAAGTTTCGTAGTAGTCCTGGATGATATTTCTTCCAGATTGTGTTTGAAGACTCTGTGTGAGGTTATGTGGGCCCTAAGATCCCAATTGAGATTTAGAAGTACTTCATTTACTTGTCTGTGATTGTAATGTGTGTGTGACAAGTAATGGAATGGAAGGCAGGTGTCTAACTTGGTTACGTTCCTTCTAGTTTGCTAGAGCTTTCCATGCAATATATATATATATATATATATATATATATATATATATATATATATATATATATCCCATATATACACACGTATACATGCATGTATATAGTTACATTATATGACTTTTAATGCATATTTGTGGTATAAATAATTATATATTTTAATTATAAAATTTAATCATTTCCATTTGTTTGATTTCGTTTATCGTAGATATTATGAAGCTTAAATATCAAATATTGGTCTCACTTGAATATAAAGGATTTAATCGCAAATAGGTGAATAATGACTTAAATTATTTATAATAATACCGGTTAATACACAATAGCTTTTATTATAATAATATTCGGGGTGATTGACCGACAAATCATGGACCGATTTTTGTCAATTGTTACATTCTTCCCCCGTTAAAAGAATTCCGTCCCGAAATTCAACTTATAGACGGGATGTCATTAAATAGTTGGGGTTATTTTTGTTTCATTAGATCTTCACGTTCCCAGGTAAACTCTGGCCCTCTTTGAGAGTTCCAACGCACTTTAACGATAGGGATACGACTTTGCTTTAATCGTTTAACTTCTCGGTCCATAATTTCTACAGGTTCTTCGACAAAGTGAAGTTTTGTGTTTAACTGAATCTCGTCGAGTGGTATCACATAAGTGTCATCAGACAGACACTTCTTGAGGTTCGAGATATGAAACACATCGTGTACTTTGCTTAATTCTTGAGGCAGTTTTAATCGGTATGCAACAGGACCGATTCTATCGAGGATTTCAAAAGGTCCTATGTATCTTGGGTTTAGTTTGCCTCGTTTTCCAAACCGAATCATGCCTTTCCAGGGGGAAACTTTCAACATAACTCTATCCCCCACTTGGAATTCTAACGGTTTACGTCTTACATCAGCGTAGCTTTTCTGACGATCACGTGCGGCCTTGAGTCTTTCTTTTATTTGCACAATTTTCTCCGTGGTCTCATGGATTATTTCAGGACCTGTGCGTAGTGTACCTCTCGCATGATTTCTGGCTAATTGAGTATCTCCTACCTCTGCCCAACATAATGGAGATCTACATTTTCGTCCATATAGGGCCTCGAATGGAGGAGCCTTTATGCTGGTATGGTAGCTATTATTGTAAGAGAATTCAATGAGTGGTAAATGGGTATCCCAAGAGTTACCAAAATCAATCACACAGGAACGGAGCATATCTTCTAAAGTCTGAATGGTTCTTTCACTTTGACCATCAGTTTGTGGATGATAAGTCGTGCTCATATCCAACCGTGTTCCCAAGGATTTCTGTAATATTGCTAGAACCTTGAAGTAAATCTACTATACCTATCAGATATTATAGAAATTGGCACTCCGTGAAGTCTGACAATTTCCTTGAGGTAAGTTCTTGTTAACTTCTCCATCTTGTCTGTTTCCTTGATTGGTAGGAAGTGGGCGGATTTGGTTAATCTATCAACTACTACCCAAATGGTGTCGTAACCACTAGGAGTCTTAGGTAGTTTCGTGATAAAATCCATAGCAATTTGTTCCCACTTCCACTCGGGAATTTCGGGTTGTTGGAGTAATCCCGATGGCTTTTGATGTTCTGCCTTGACTTTAGAACAAGTCAAGCACTTGCCCACATAAGTGGCAATCTCCGCTTTCATATTAGGCCACCAATATAACTTCTTCAAATCTAAGTACATTTTGTCTAAACGTGGGTGCACCGAATATCTTGTTTTATGAGCTTCGTCCAGGACTAACTTCCGGATGTCACCAAATTTTGGTGTCCAAATCCTGTTAATGAAATAACGAGTCCCGTCTTCCTTAATTTCGAATTGTTTATCCATTCCTCTCAAAGCTTCATCTGAAATGTTTCCTTCCTTCATTGCCTCGAGTTGAGCTTCTCTTATTTGTGTATTAAGATTAGAATGGATAGTCATGGTTAGTGCTTTCACCCTTCTTGGTTTTACATGCTCCTTGCGACTTAATGCATCTGCTACAACATTTGCCTTACCAGGATGGTAACGAATTTCACATTCGTAATCATTCAGTAATTCCACCCATCTTCGTTGTCTCATGTTCAAATCTTTTTGATTGAAAATATGTTGAAGACTTTTGTGGTCGGTAAAAATAGTGCATTTAGTACCATACAAATAATGTCTCCAGATTTTTAGGGCGAAGACTACTGCTCCTAGTTCAAGGTCGTGAGTTGTATAATTCACTTCGTGTACCTTGAGTTGTCTAGATGCATACGCGATCACCTTTTCTCTTTGCATTAAAACACAACCCAATCCTTGGTGAGACGCATCGCAGTATACGGCGAAGTCTTCTGTCCCTTCTGGGAGGGATAGGATAGGGGCACTGCACAACATGTTCTTTAATCTATGAAATGCAGCTTCCTGTTTATCTTCCCAATTGAACTTTGCTTCCTTTTAGGTTAATGCAGTGAGAGGCTTAGCTATCTTGGAGAAGTTCTCGATGAATCTTCTGTAATAGCCAGCAAGGCCTAGAAATTGGCGCACTTCTGTCGGTGTTTTAGGCGCTTCCCAGTTCTTGATTGCTTCGATCTTTGTAGGGTCCACATGTATTCCCTTATTACTCACCACATGCCCTAAGAAATGTACTTCCCTGATCCAAAATTCACACTTGGAAAATTTGGCATACAATTTCTCTTTTCTTAGCAGTTCCAGTATTAGTTGCAGGTGTTGACCGTGTTCTTCTTTAGTTCGTGAGTATATCAAAATATCGTCAATGAATACGATCACAAACTTGTCTAGGTATGGTCTACACACACGGTTCATGAGATCCATGAATACTGCAGGGGCATTGGTTAACCCAAATGGCATAACTAGAAACTCGTAGTGACCATACCGAGTCCTAAATGCGGTCTTTGGAATATCTTCGTCCAACACTTTGAGTTGGTGATATCCCGATCTCAGATCTATCTTGGAGTAGTAGCTGGATCCCCGAAGTTGATCAAACAGATCATCAATTCTCAGGAGTGGATAACGATTCTTGATTGTTAACTTGTTAAGTTCCCGATAGTCGATACACATTCTGAAAGATCCATCCTTCTTTTTGACAAATAATACCGGTGCTCCCCATGGTGAGAAACTGGGTCTAATGAAGCCTTTATCAAGGAGTTCTTGTAGTTGACTTGAAAGCTCTTGCATTTCAGAGGGTGCCAACCTGTAGGGGGATTTAGCCACTGGTGCTGCTCCTGGAATTAGATCGATTCGAAATTCGACTTGACGAGTCGGTGGTAATCCGGGTAGATCTTCGGGGAATACGTCAGGAAAATTACACACGTGAGGTATGTCCTTGATATCCTTTGTTTCTTTATTTTTGTTAACGACATGTGCTAAGAAAGCATAACACTTCTTGTATAAATACTTCTGGGCTTTGGTACAAGAAATAAGCTTCAGATTTTGCCCTGATTTATCACCGTAAATAATGATGGTCTCTCCATTGGGTAGGTTCAGTCGTACTGCTTTCTCATAACATAATATCTCGGCATGATGAGGTGACAACCAATCCATACCTATAATTATGTCAAAACTTCCAATTGGAATTGGCATGAGATCTATTGGGAATGATCTATCGTTCAGAGTTATAAGACAATTCTTTAATATTTCAGTGGTGCTCTCTATCTGGCCGTTCGCTACTTCTACTTCATAAGCTACATCTAACTTACTAGACTTGTGATTTAATAGTTGTTTAAAGGATGGAGAGCTGATTCATGTGGCTTGCCCGATCCAAGTCGAGAGCTGATTCATGTGGCTCGAGCGAAGGCTTGGGCTTCGTGGGTCTTAGAGAAAAAAGCAATGCGTTAGGCTGGCTTCACTCCACTGTTTGCTCTAAAAGTCTGTGGCTCTCTTCCATTCTATGGGCCAATGAGAGAGCTATTTGATTCTGACTTTCTGCTGCTGAAACTCTCACATCAAGATGCATCACTCGACCGCGAAAGTAGTCCATACGTTGATGGAGGTTCAGTTGGGAGAGTTGGTCATCTTCCCATTTTTCTTCCATCTTGGACATTTTGGTTCTCATTTGGTTCATTTCACCCTGATTGGTACTTGATTCATCGCTTAAGTGCCACATCTGCCCGTTCAGGCGGGCCATCTGCTGGGTTAGTGCATTAATTTCAGAAGAGGTTGCAGTTGCACTCCCTGAGGTTTGTCCTCTATTGTTGGTTTTCGTTTGACGCCATTGATCCACCCAAGTATTTACTTCACTGGTTGAGTAACCAAGAACGTTGTCTAGTTCTTGGGGGTTAGGGACGGACATTCTTGCGGTGCGTTTGAGGCGGCGTCGAACATTTCTGACTGATGAACGATTGGGGGAAACCACATTCGTCGCCTCATCACTAACAATCTCCATGGGGTTCTCAGGCTCCATTTCTTGGTCATCTTCTTCCGGATCTTCCTCCGGATCTTCTTCCATTTCGTTCTCCTTTTCCGAGATTGGTACGTCCTCGGCTATTGGAATTTGATCATGGACGGCTTGAAAATCCGGAAAGTACGGGTCTCCGGGAAACAGTGGTGGAGGGTGAGCCGGGGGATTGACGATCCACCAAAGTTCATCCATCTAATAAGAGAAATAATCTTTAATAACTAAAAACATAATTATTTTTATATACACAAAAATAACATACTAATAATTGTAAAATTTTAATTTCTTAAATCACCAAGCTTTTAGTCTATCAATCACCTCATTTAAGTTATATAATTTATAAAGCCCGATCATAATAAAACTTAGGTGCGCAAGCTAGGTCTAGTTGTGATAAAGCTTATGTATTATAAAACCTAATTGGGTATTTGACCTAAATCCTTGCGTTTTAAGTTTTCAAATTTTCAAATTTATTTTTCACAAAATTTATAAATATGTATAGATTAATAATTTAATTATTAATCTATAATTTATAACTTTTTTTTTAGGATATTGGTATACTTAATCCAATAAGAGTAGTCCCTAAACTATAGTTGTATTCTTTTTCTAAGAAAATACTGAGTTCTCTATAGTTGTTAGCTCTAATACCAATCTGTCACACCCCGACCAACGGCAGAAAATGTCGGAGTCGCGACGTTATAAATTGAATCACAGTCAACCACATATATTGAACATTTAAAATATGATAATTAATATATTACAAACTTTCGAATTTTTAATTAGAAAGCATTACAATACTTTAACATTTAACGATAGAAAAAGAAACATATCGCGATTATTTAATAGTAAGGAAATAATATTTCCTTAGCACCGACGTCATACCTTCGGCTTCTTATTTACCTGAGAATACACACTTTTTAAAAATACGTCAACAAAAATTGTTGGTGAGTTCCATAGGTTTTGACGCCGAGAGTTTTATAAAATAAAATGCAATTTTTATGAATGTAAGAACTATAAACGAAGGAAACATACATCTTTATAAATTTCAAATAAATATAAATTAGATGAACATATTTTCTTGAATCAATATAAGATCTCAAAATAAATATTATTTAGAATATATAAATAGCAATTTATATATTTTAAGTAAGTGAATTACCAATTATTTACCTTATGTAAATAAATAATATCACTAAAACAATAACACCAATACCTTCCGTTTTGATTTATATTAATATTTTTGGTAATGGATTTCCGGGGTTATGTAGAGTTTAATAACCGAGCTATAAGACTTGTATCCGCCTCTGTTAAATATAAAATAGTTTCAACGACGCTTCATCAACGTCAAAACAACAATGAGATAAAATAAGAAGTTACCGTCCGTTTTGTCTCGTCATACGAAGGTTGTAGCTAGCAACCGCGGACGGGGTGTCAATCCGTATAGATCTATACATAACATTCTCCGCTCCTTGGGGATTAACGGTTATTACAGAGGGCTTCACTAAGTTTATATTCTTAGTTTGATGAAAAATAAACTCACATAAAGATCCCGTATTTTTGTTCACAATTCTTTAGTTATATAAAGTTTATTTATCTTTGAACAATAACAAATAAAAACTTGTTAGCGAAACTCAGGCCGCATAACGGTTGTATTCGGAACAATAGCAAATTTTCAATCCAAGTGAAAATCCACAATTTTAACGATCATTAGATATAAACCTACAGTTTATAATAAAAGCTAGAATTTTAACAAATATTTTAGTAACCAAAAATTTAATATTTTATAAGATAATAATATTAAACATCCAAAAATTTCTATTATCATTATATATATATATATATATATATATATATATATATATATATATATATAACAATTAGTCGACATATTAGTACATATGTATGTCTTATTGGGTTTATATAAGTCTATAATTTGCACATTTTTATACCCAAAAGTGACCTATATATAATAACAGTACACTTGTACATATTACGTATAATTATTTACACATATGTAAATAATAGAATAACATGCAATAAGATAGAGATACAAAATTTGGAGATTTTTAATGTTTCATTTTGATATAATAACAAGTATAGCAAGTTTTATAGGGTAAGAAGTTCATAATTCCATTTTACGTGAATAGTGTATTTTTGCGGATAAAAGCTTTTATGCGACACAAAAACTGTCACAATATGTTTAAAAGTGTCATATAAGTAATAAATGTATCATTTAAAATTTTATGAACCCATGCAATTTCTTATAGTTTGAATCTGTAATATCATATGCTTGTGTGTATTCCCCCCATAATTGTTTAACAAAGTAAAAAAAAAAGGGGGCCATGGAGACTCACGTTAGTAGCAAGAGTCGGGAAGTGTTGGGAAGATCGAGTTTTGAGCGGGTTTTGCTTTGGGATTCTTGGAGTCGACCTATACACCTCGAAACAGAAAGGTAACGGAATAAGGAAACTATATATGTTTGTTTAGGACCGAACCAATCATCAGGATTATCTCGTCGGAACTGTTCATGCCACCGGCCACCATGGCAGGTGTTGACTGTTCTTCGAGGTTTTTGAATGTGTTCTGAATAGAAAAGAAAGATGGTTACCTGAGATCAATGGAGGAGTAAGGAAGAACGACGAGAAACTGCTTGAGGGTCGAAAAGAGATGAAGACAGGAGGATAAATAGTGGTTGTCGCCGGTTCTTCTTCTCCAGTGAGCAGTGTCGACAGTCCTGTTTGCGATCGGAGGCTTGCTTCAACTGGCCATGGCGGTGGTTTGGTGGTTATGGGGTCAGTCTGCCATTAAAATGGAAGAAAGACGAGAGGTTGGGTTAAAGAAGGCAACAACTTCGGTTGTTGCTGGGTTTTTCTGTGATCTAGTGGAACACGAGTGAGAGGGAGTTGAGAAGATGAAGGGGGAGTGTGAAGAGTGTTATCTAAAATTGAATTCAGTGGTGAGATATTTGATCAGATTTCTTGTACAATTTGATGATCGAATGAAGATGTGGAAGTACATTTGAAATAGTTCCAAAGATATCAAGCATGTGAGGTATTTGTGAAAATGTAGGTGAGAGAGATAGAGAGGAAAGGGGGAGAGGAAGTTTCGTAGTAGTCCTGGATTATATTTCTTCCAGATTGTGTTTGAAGACTCTGTGTGAGGTTATGTGGGCCCTAAGATCCCAATTGAGATTTAGAAGTACTTCATTTACTTGTCTGTGATTGTAATGTATGTGTGACAAGTAATGGAATGGAAGGCAGGTGTCTAACTTGGTTACGTTCCTTCTAGTTTGCTAGAGCTTTCCATGCAATATATATATATATATATATATATATATATATATATATATATATATATATATATATATATATATATATATATCCCATATATACACACGTATACATGCATGTATATAGTTACATTATATGACTTTTAATGCATATTTGTGGTATAAATAATTATATATTTTAATTATAAAATTTAATCGTTTCCATTTGTTTGATTTCGTTTATCGTAGATATTATGAAGCTTAAATATCAAATATTGGTCTCACTTGAATATAAAGGATTTAATCGCAAATAGGTGAATAATGACTTAAATTATTTATAATAATACCGGTTAATACACAATAGCTTTTATTATAATAATATTCGGGGTGATTGACCGACAAATCATGGACCGATTTTTGTCAATTGTTACATTCTTCCCCCGTTAAAAGAATTTCGTCCCGAAATTCAACTTATAGACAGGATGTCATTAAATAGTTGGGGGTATTTTTGTTTCATTAGATCTTCATGTTCCCAGGTAAACTCTGGCCCTCTTTGAGAGTTCCAACGCACTTTAACGATAGGGATACGACTTTGCTTTAATCGTTTAACTTCTCGGTCCATAATTTCTACAGGTTCTTCGACAAAGTGAAGTTTTGTGTTTAACTGAATCTCGTCGAGTGGTATCACATAAGTGTCATCAGACAGACACTTCTTGAGGTTCGAGATATGAAACACATCGTGTACTTTGCTTAATTCTTGAGGCAGTTTTAATCGGTATGCAACAGGACCGATTCTATCGAGGATTTCAAAAGGTCCTATGTATCTTGGGTTTAGTTTGCCTCGTTTTCCAAACCGAATCATGCCTTTCCAGGGGGAAACTTTCAACATAACTCTATCCCCCACTTGGAATTCTAACGGTTTACGTCTTACATCAGCGTAGCTTTTCTGACGATCACGTGCGGCCTTGAGTCTTTCTTTTATTTGCACAATTTTCTCCGTGGTCTCATGGATTATTTTAGGACCTGTGCGTAGTGTACCTCTCGCATGATTTCTGACTAATTGAGTATCTCCTACCTCTGCCCAACATAATGGAGATCTACATTTTCGTCCATATAGGGCCTCGAATGGAGGAGCCTTTATGCTGGTATGGTAGCTATTATTGTAAGAGAATTCAATGAGTGGTAAATGGGTATCCCAAGAGTTACCAAAATCAATCACACAGGAACGGAGCATATCTTCTAAAGTCTGAATGGTTCTTTCACTTTGACCATCAGTTTGTGGATGATAAGTCGTGCTCATATCCAACCGTGTTCCCAAGGATTTCTGTAATGATTGCTAGAACCTTGAAGTAAATCTACTATCCCTATCAGATATTATAGAAATTGGCACTCCGTGAAGTCTGACAATTTCCTTGAGGTAAGTTCTTGTTAACTTCTCCATCTTGTCTGTTTCCTTGATTGGTAGGAAGTGGGCGGATTTGGTTAATCTATCAACTACTACCCAAATGGTGTCGTAACCACTAGGAGTCTTAGGTAGTTTCGTGATAAAATCCATAGCAATTTGTTCCCACTTCCACTCGGGAATTTCGGGTTGTTGGAGTAATCCCGATGGCTTTTGATGTTCTGCCTTGACTTTAGAACAAGTCAAGCACTTGCCCACATAAGTGGCAATCTCCGCTTTCATATTAGGCCACCAATATAACTTCTTCAAATCTAAGTACATTTTGTCTAAACCTGGGTGCACCGAATATCTTGTTTTATGAACTTCGTCCAGGACTAACTTCCGGATGTCACCAAATTTTGGTGTCAAAATCCTATATATATATATATATATATATATATATATATATATATATATATATATATATATATATATATATATATATATATATATACACACACGTATACATGCATGTATATAGTTACATTA